GGTCTAGAATTCTACCGGAAATTCTGTGGGAAGAAATGGGTGCAGTGATGATGAAATGTGATGTGACCTAAAAGGTGAACTTTAGGATTTGATGTATGCTAAGCAGCTGAGCCACTTGCCATTTTTTATCAAGGCACAGTGATGGTCAGCACATGAGGCTGAGGTCCCTGGAAAAAACTGACTACTAGAACGTGCACTTCGAAGTGAGAGATGGAACTGTAAAGGCCACTGGTTCTCCTGAAGCTAGAGTCTAACTCACGTGATTTTCCCTTGGGTATTGTGTTACCGATGATGCTACCTGCCAACTCTTGTCACATGGTTTGCTGGGTCCCCTGCTACTTTGGGTTCTGTGCTGAGTTGCTTCTAACCCAAGATCATTTCTTGACTGATGTATAAAAAGTGCTATGAGAAAGGAAAAAGATTCTGAGAATTTCAAGCCTATAGAAAGTATTCGTATCATATGGTTTTTAAGAGTTCTGTCTGAAGACCGAGCTGTGACACCAATGAGCTTGTCTAACTTTGGGGAAGTGCGTGTAGTTGTTATCTGGAGATGGAAGGTGTGTGGCTCCTGTGATGTGGCAGACATTAGTGATGTGTTTTTCTATGTTCATTCTTTCTAAGAATCAGCTAGAGCTCAGTGTCGCCCTCTCTCTTGGTGCTTCATGTCCTTCTGCTCCTGTGAAAATCCCTTCAAATAACTGGTTTGTCTCTAAAAAGTTCATTATTTGAAGTACTGCTTTAATTTTGTTTTGTATTTTGTTCATGGTGCTCAACTTTTCCTCCTGCCTCCTTCACACACAGGTACAGGGGAGCTTGTTCCACCTAAAGATTCCTTTAGCATTAGCAACAGGGCCATCAAAGTTAGCAGAGGATGAATGACAGACAGACAGTTGGGATTTGGTGACATGGATATGAATCACCATCACAGAGTGATCATGTCCGCTAAATTCTGTCTTGTTTTCCATCTTGGAATGACCCAATTGTAATTCATCTCCCCTGTGTTTTAGGTTTCTGGCCTTAGCACAGGATCATGAAAGTCCCTGAAATACTTAGCAACCTTCTCTCCACCTGACACACAGCATATCCTGGCAGGTTTCTGTTCTCACAAAGGAAGTATATTTCATTGATATGACTGAAAAATTAAGAAATAGGATTCCTATCCTGGGAATAAAGCAGATTATACTCCCAGGCTGCCTGAAGCCTCCAAATTGACCAACAACAAATCCCAGCAACTTTGGGCTACTTCTGTTTCTGGTTTTACGGAACATTCAGTGTATACATGTCATACGGAGGAGAGCAATTGGTATCGCACACTGATGCACCTTGCTGGACAGGTACGCAAGTTCAGCGTCATGTTCCTCTCCATTTCCCACAGATTCCTTTGGGGTGGAGTGTTCTAGAGAGGTAGGCTTGGCTATGGTCAAACCCTGCTTACCTCCTGTTTTTATAAATCAAAATTTATCGACATGTTTACATATTGCCTAGAGCATGTTTGGGGCTTAGTAAGACTTTGTAGCCCACGAATGCCCAAATATTGTCCCCCTTTATGGAAACGGTATACTGACTCTGTTGGGAAGACATGACATGGAAATATGAGTCAGCCCATCCCAAATCCAACCTCGGCCTTTGCCTATGCCATTCACTTTTCTAAGACCCCTCGGTCTGCTGGTGGCTCCACTTCTGCCCCTGTACAAGCAGAGCCATGTCATATCTGAGGCTCCTTTCCCCTCACATACTAATAACACACGAGATGCTGTTGCTGTTTGCTTGAGCCACATTGGCACTGCATTTTCTAGAACAAGCTGAATGAGATGCTGGCTGCTGCGTAGGATTCAACCTTTGAGGGGATTATTATTAGGTTTGAAGATTTCTTTGTTTTGTTTTGTCTTGAGAAGGCCTGCAGGAAGGTACTGAGTGGCTGAAGCCTGAAAAGTAGCCAGAGTAAGGGCAGAGAGAGGAGATTCAGGCTGGAATCCTCAAATCTGGCTTCCTTCTTGCCCCTATGAATGACTTGTTCCATTTTTTTTTTACTACAGTCAAATCAAGTGAAGTTGCATAGATGAAATTCATTAAGACATGTTTATGTGTTTGAGTGATTGCCCGCATGTATGCATTTATACAACATGTATGCAGGCACCCATGGAGGCCAGTAATGGATGAATCATGAGCAATGGGTTCTCTGTAACTAGAGTCTTAGAAGGTTATGAGCCACCCTGTGGATGCTGGGAACTGAATCCAGGTCCTCTGTAAGAACAGCAGATTTTCTTAACCACTGGGCCATCCCTCCAGCCTCAATGAAACTCATTAAAAGGAGCTGCTGTTAAGACAGTCTATGAACTGGTCATCAAAGAGAGAACTCCAAGCCCTTGGGAGGCAGAGATAGTCAGATCTCTGTGAGTTTGAGACAAGTAGCCTGGTATAAATAAGTGAGTCCCAAACTAGCTAGGGCTACATAGTGAGATCCTGTCTCACAGAGAGGGAGGGGGAGGAGAGGGAGATGGGGAGGGGAGAGGAAGGGAGAGGGAGAAGGAAGTATAAAATTCTGGGCCTTAGGTCCTAAAAGAAGAGTGAGATCTTAGGAGGTACCCACCGACTTTCCTCTGGTTAAAAAACAAGCAAAAGTTTTATTTATGTCTTAAAATTAGTAAAAGTGATATCCAAGGGCCATGAATTCTCAATATGTAGCAACACACATACTTGGGTGACAGACAGAGCAGCAAATACAGAACAGAATGGAGTGAGCGGCAGGTGGCTGCTCCATGGGTGCTGACGGTGGATGATGGGACTTCTGATGCATGTCCCTGATACTTGGTTTACATCTGTGTCTGCTGCTCAGCTAGAAAGAAAACAGTCCCCTGCTCCAGAAATGAGGTTCTTGTCAGCAGTGTGGGATTGTAGAGACTCCAGAACCTTCCATCTTGGAAGTAAATAGGAGCACTTCCCATCGCAGCTCCCGGTGTCCTGCTCCCTCCTCACACTCAGTGATGCCTCAGGCCTCCTACTCCAGAGCATGAGCTGCCCTGCTTCCTCATCACACTGAGTGTGCCTCTGGCCTCCTACTCCAGAGCATGAGCTGCCCTGAACGTCTGCTGTGCTATGCTGTCCCTGTGGCATCTAAGAGTCTTCTTCTTGGGGCTGCTGGCACATGCTCCTAATCACAGTACTTGGGAGGCTGAGGCAGGAGGATTGAGAACTAAAGTCCAGTTTGATGTACATAGTTAAGATCCTGATTTTAACAATGTCCTTGACGCAGTGTGTGTACATGTTCTTGTATTGCATTCTGACATGATTCCTAGAGCATGGAGCCGTTCTAAGTTTAGAACACAGGGAACATGATAAAGGGAGCACACACCACATAAGGAGGAAAAGCATGCATTCAGCACCACATGGGTCGATCTGTGTCAGTCACATTTTAATAGCATCCTGGCATGACTGTCAGACCGTTAGTATAAGTCCTGTTTCACAGATAAACACCATGAAGCTTAGGGAGAGTACAGAGTTTAACAGCTAGTTAGACTGGAGTCTAATTCCAAATGCAGATCTTGGGGCAACAAAGTGCATGCCTTTCCCAGTGTGTCAGGCAGGAGGTGGGGCCAGCATAACCGTGGATGGTCCTCTGCGACACACAGGCATCTCTTTCCATGCTCTGCCGAGGGGTCCTTGGAGATGATAGATGTTAGGGGATTCTGAAACCTCTTTAGTTCCACAGATGTCTAGGGAACTGGCTATCAGTTTTCATCAACAGGGGAGTTGGAGGAAACGCCGATGAGGGTACCACAGCAGAAAGTCTTCCAGTGGAGGAGAGATGTGGGCTGCCAGGCCACACTCACAAGCCGGATTCCAGGCTTGCTGTGAAAGTTGGACAGCTGTCTGTCTCTCTTGCTTTCTGTCCCTTCATGGCTGCTTGTTCCGTTTTATTACACCCATGTGCTCTTTTCTATGTTGTTCAAGCTGGAAAATGTTGCTAAGCATTTTGACTGAGTAGATCTCGCAATGGTCTGTTTAGTTCCAGGGCTTTCTGATGAGAGTTCTTTCACCTCCTTTCTTGATGGGAAAGTGCTGTGCCCCAGCTCTCCAGGAAGACATGGCAGGACACAAAGGGGGGCTTAGACTAGGAGGAGCCATGGTGCCCAGCTTGTCCTGAAACCGTGTACAGCTGAGTTAGACTGCAAGTTTTTCACGGGTGTCCACTGGTACTTGTCCCGGAGGTTCTGACCCTGCCTGAAATACATGATAGAAATACATACATAGATACATAGATACATAGATAGACTAAACCTTTCCTGCTGGTTCCGGCAGTCTGGTGCCCTTTGCCCTAGCCTTGTTTTTTTTTTTCTGCTGAGTCACATTTCCCCTGAATTTACACAGTAGACACACACACACACACACACACACACACACACACACACACACACACCAGGAATCAAGTCAGGGGTCTGGGGATTGACACCACTACACTCTCATGGCTTCCCAGCAGAACAGTGTGGCCTACGTCCATGTGGCTTTCACAGTGTTGAACCTAATAAAAACAGGTAGCAGAAACTCAAGAAGAACTTCTAGGCCAGTGGTAACCATTTTGCCCATTTCAAGAAGTTTATTTAAACAACAAGATGCTTGACTTGAAGGGAAAACTATCTAGGATCATTTTGTTCTAGAGTAATTTACCCCTACTTAAAGACAGATTGCCCTACATGTAACAGCTACGTACAAAAAAGTTATAAAATTGTCCTTGGTTTTACAATGATAAATGAAAAACATTAAAATTCTCCAATCAAACAAGGTATGTACGGATTTTGTTGTTGGGCTCTTTTGTTAAAATGTTGAGAGCAAAATAACTTACTGGACTATAAAGATAAGAGCTGAATGAGCATGCCACTAATGGAGACAGGGGGATATTTTCACAGAACCAGTGCTTTCCCTGGTCCATCTCCATCTGATGTCAATCAAAACAGAACATTGGCCATTTAGTTTTAAGAAGAATAAGAAAAAAGTACAAATGTTTGTGCACACACACCAGTTACTTTATGTACAATAAAGAAATGGGGACAGGGAAATGAAAGAAGAGAGAAAACTATACTGTAGTAGTCAGGATGTGGGGGAACCAAATTGTGGCTTTCTAATTGTGAATGTATTCTTGGTCTATAACAAAATTCTGGAGTAAAGTAGCAGGTTCCCTTTTTAGTAGACACCTCCTGTCTGCTGCTGGAACACATCAATCCTATCTTCATCCTCCATGTCCAACTGTGCGGGTGTATCTGTTTCATTGATTGGTTGCCCATCAAACCGGAATCTGATCTGCCTCATTGACAAACCCTGTCGTTCACAATAGGCTTTCATTAGTTTACTAAGTGGTGTGTGCCTCTTAATCTCTAACTGCACCACAGAACCATCCTGCCCTGCCACCTTCAAGTTAGTATGATCATTATTCTCAGTCTTGACTCCTTCCTTGGGTTTCTCGTCGGCCATGGTGAGCGCCAGAGTCTCCTCAGCAGCCACTTCAGGCCCAAACTGAAGGAGCCTACTTTTATTTATTTAGTTTTGAAATAGTGAGGACTGAGCTCAGGGCCTCATGCCTCCTAGACAAGCATTTTCCATAAGTCATGGTCTAACCCTCGGAAGGTATCATATTTGTTTTTATTTCTCAATTGATGATTATCCACGCTGCTTTCTTTTTCTCTTTCTTCTGAGACAGTTTTACCATGTAGCCCAGTGGCTTCCAACCTGCAGTCTTCCTGCCCCTGCACATATGAAGATCCATGCCACCATGCTTGGCTATGATGTCTCCATGGTCTTCACTGAGGGACCATGACCATCTTATTCTCAATTGTACGTTTACTACTTACTCCTTGTCACAGAGTAGATATCCCGTCTGTTACATATGTGATAATAACTTGGGGAGTTAATTATAATTAAATTCCATTAAATTAATTCCACTGTGTTTGCTGAAATGATTTCCCTACCTAAGTCAGGATTCTGTTTAGCTGAGAGTTTTGGGACTCACAACAGATTCCATTTTCCAGGAACTAACCTTTCCCAAGGACTTTTGAAAACTACTTTTATTCTGAGGAAGGATTTCAAAGGAGACATTTTTGAGAAGAAAGTTATTTTGTCAGCTTCTCTGGAAATTGTCCCAGCCCGGTGCTCATGCTCACCTGTGACTTTGAGTTTTGCTGTTTTAGTGTTATTGGCACTGTCTGAATAGTCTTGGCTCTCACATCTTGGGGAAACTACACACGTGAGCCCACTCACGTTAGCCATGGCAGATAAGTGACAGATTTCTTGAATTTATTTTATCAAATACCATATATTTTGGAAAAAAGAAGATTTTATGAGCACTTACAAATAATTGCATGCACAGCTCTTTGAGTTGTAAGTAAATACATATAAGTAGTAAAAGTCTAAGGGAAAATCATTTGAGGCCCTTGCACTAAACTGTCTGATGATGCAGCTGCCCCTTCACCTAGTCCCGCTAGAGAAGAGAGTCCCCACAAGGCATAGGAAGGTTCATGAGCTGAAGCCAGCAGACCTGCAGCACAGCCCAGTTCCCAGCCTCACTCTGTCTTCAGGACGTGAGAGACACTTCGTGCATGGGAGCTTTAAATAACCTCTCATAGCAGGCCAAGTGTGTCCTTCAATGCTCGGTGAAAACAGTCCTGAGGCACCACACAGTATCTCCAGGTATACAGTTCCCAAATTCTCTGAGATAATCTAAAAAATAAATGTTAATGTGTCAAGACAAATAACTGGTCCTCAGAGACCTCAGATAATTCTCCCTAAAAACCACTTTCTTCAGCCAAAGGTTTTGGAAAGCATGGAGACCATGGACTTGAGACTTTGTTCCTGAGAAGTAAAGGCAAAACACACTCTTGGGAGCAGGGCCCAGGCAGCGCTGGAAAGAGCTGAGGGTGGGTGAAATGGATGTGGAAAATGATAGTGTGTATAATGACATCCCTCCATCATGGAGGGTCAGATTCCATAGATAGAAACACATGAACTCTAGCATTTTTGTGAGCTGGGTACAATCCCTTTGAACTTCCTTCTTGTGGTTCTCTCCTGGCATACAACCCACACAATAGTCAACAGATTATTTCTGGAAAAGCTGGGTGTCTAGATGATGCCTCATCCCTGGGCCCGTGAGGGTGCTGATGTACTGTAGCTGTCCCTGGGACTGCCACAAGCAGCAGAGTAATGATCCATGGAGGCAAGAAGGCAGCCTTGGTCCAACATGATTCAGTCGCTGGTGCTGCTTCAAACTCCAGGAGTCTGACTCTGAGTGGTTTATTTTAGGCAGATTCAAACATAGCACAATTTGGTGAAAACATCCTTGATGGCAATTAACTCAATCCTGTGTCACAATAAAGCTTAAGGCATGACTACATCAAAACTCTTTGTAAAGTACACATGACATCTTTCATAAAAATAGGTTCTATAGATTGACTACATGTGACTTAAAAATAGGTTCTCTATATTGACAAGATCACAATAAGGATCCAGGGGAGGATCCAGTGGAGTCTCCACCTTACAGCACAAAAGGTCACCAGTCCATTAACCACATCCTCTCCCAGCCTTCTGAGTAGATAACAGGTTATGCATCCCTTTCTTCCAACGGACAGCATTGTGTGTTTGACATGCCTGGTTCCCCTAGTGCTCATCTGTGAGCACAAGAACCTCCATGTTCCCCACAAGGTACCCTCCCTTGAAGCAGGCCAACTGCAGCTTCCACCACTCAGTGAGAGCAGAGCCCTGAGGTGCCACCCAGTGTTTCGGTTCCCAGACACTCTGAGCCTGGTTCAGTTCAGGGGTTAGATAAGATCTGAGGGAAGGACAGTATCTAGACTCTTTCCTTAGCTCTGCCTTACAAAGAAGGAGGCTCACAGGCCCTTTCTGTCTGACGCTGAAAATACCAGGTTTTCTCATGGGAAGCTTCAACTACTCACCTCAAGAATGCTTTTCTTTAGCAGGCAAATGGGCCATTTCCTGAGATCACTTCCCGTCTGTGAATGATGGAAGTTACCTGGTTTCAGAGGACAGACAGCAAGACTTTTAAAAAGCATCTCCCCAGTCACATGCTTTCTTCTCTGACCTTGGCCACTTCTGTCCCTGTTGCTCAGAGTGAGCTCGTATCAATAACAGTTCTTCATAGCAGATGATGAGTCCCTGATGAGTCCATGAGACCTGGCATCTGTGATATTGTCCGATGTGCCATCTAAAACAGTCATCCTAGGGAGGGAGAGGTGGCCCAGCACTTGAGAACACACACTGCTCTTACAGGGACCCAAGTTCAGCACCCTCATCAGGAGGCTCAGAAGCACCTGCCACTCAGCTCCAGCCCTGCTCTCCACTCACTCTCACTCACTGTTGTACACACTCATAACTCATACATGCACACTCACACATATGCAGTCTCATGCACACTCATGCACACACACACAACTCACACACACAATTAAAAATAAAATCTTTTATAAAATTATCTGAGGCTAGGGCTGTAGCTTGGCTGTTAGAGTTCTTGCTTAGCATGCTAGAGGCCCTGGGTTTGATCCCCAGCACAGCATAAACAAGCATGGACCTGTAACTCCAGCTCTCGGGAGGTGGGGGAGGAGAGGAATAGAAATTCAAGGTGATCCTTGGCTACCTAGGGAGTTTCAGACCCTGACTCAAAAAACAGCAGCAGCAAACTCTTTCAATTAAAAACTGGGTGAGAGATTGAGTTGGGGTGAATTTCCCAACTAACAGACTGGTATACAGGGACTAGTGTTGGGGACTCCATCCAGTTTCTTCTTTTCATTGTCAAAGAAATCTATAAACAACTTTTACTGGGGGCTTCTGAGGCAGTTACAGACCTGATGGGGTTGGGTGTCTCCTGTGCGGAAAGGGCTTTTTAGGCTAATGATGTGGCAGGATTGGAAGGTGTGAAGAGCCCAAACCCAGGTGGTTTTCATCGTCTCTGCCACCCACTCCCCTCAGAATCCCTTCCCTTCCTTGGCCTCCTCATGTGGCATTTACAGCTCAGAGAACTCTGTGAATGCATTTTGTACTGTAGTCGTCAGCTTCTGTGTTCACTGGGGCTGAGGACATGTTCTCTTCCCTTCTGGAGGATGTTCTCTTTGATTTTGACAAGTGAAAGAAGTAACCCAAGAGAGGATTCATGTGGCTCATCGGTGTGCATGGGAACAAATGGACAAGCTCCTTCTGAACCTCCCTGCAGGATGTGCTAGCCGGCGAGCATGGGCAAGTTCTTAACTCCATTTATCTTGACCATGCCAAGGCCTAGAAGAACTCACCCTAGCCCAAGAGTTTTGAGCTTCTAAGTTACAGCCCCTCCATGTAACGTAGATACCTATGATCTGTATGGCAAGGCTTGTATCGGCTTATGAAAAGGTAAGTCTTGGGAGAAATTTTCCCTAAGCCATCTCTGATTACATAGGAAGGAGCCATGAGACCTCTCACCTGCAGTTCTTTCCTTACGCACAGCCGACAGAAGAGGTAGTCACTGCCTCGGAGCATCTGGAGAGAAGAAGTGAGAGATGCTAAGTGCCCAGACCACTGTAACACTTGAAGGACTTACTTAAACAGCTGGGCAAATGTTTAACAAGGATTGGGTGCTTGTGTGCTCACAGTCCAGAACGTCCATGAGGCTGTGTGTCCAGGGCTTACAGGATATGAAGGTAGTATCCACCTCATGTCTTTGTAAATACCAGAACAGGAAGAAGAAGGAGGCGTTTTGGTGTGTAAGTACCGATAAATAGCCTGTCAGGGTCAAGTATAAGTAATGCATAAGTCACACAGTGGAGTAATGTTACCTCTTGGGGCCTCTCATAAGCTAATTACTCCTCCACCTTCCTGCTGCCCTTCTGGAGTGATCTGATTGGTGAACCTCAGGGTAATTGTATTTAAATCCCTGTGGATTATTTTGGAGGAGTTAACTGTGCTTTGGGGCACTGGGTCCACAGTAAAGAGAGTCAGATGCTGGCCACAGCTGAGAAGGCTTTCTCATGTTTAGTATTGGATAAGTAGTGTACGTTGAATGGAAAAAGCTCACCCATTCCAAGATGAATGCGTCAGAATGGAAAGTTTAGGTGGAAATTCATCCAAAACAAACTGCAGAAACTTCAGATCCATCTTGTCCTCACTTGTATCCCGCTCTCAGTCCATATGAAGATCTCATTTTATAGTTTACACTCACAAGGAAAAGTCATTTGTTTGCATCATCCTTTGCTCCCTTGGATGTAGGTGAGGACGGGGCTTCCTCCATCCCATAGTATTCCCTTTGCACATTACTCCAGGAGACACATCTTTTCTGTTCTGTGGCTGTATCTGTAGTGACCGCATTGTTTCGCTTTTTAATCTTCTGCCCTGAGTCCCTGATATTTTCCCTGCAGTAAAGTCTTCCTGTGAGCCTGTCTTCCCCTGGCCCAGCTCTGTCCTCTTCAGCTCACTTCCTGTTTCCCCCAGCAGCACATTTTATTTGTGTTCT